AAACCCAAAACAAGAAAATAAATTTAGGTTTTTAAATGATCGGTATTTTTGCTTTGACAAAAATTAAGAATCTAATCTGAGATAGGAACTTAAATTTAGAAGAGTGAGGAGAGATGCTGTAGGGGACCCAAATATTGATTTCAGGAGTGCATGAAACAGCTCTCCGTAGGTGAGACGTAATTCAAGAGACTATATGCTGCACGGGCCCAAGAACCCCCGTATCTCCTTTTTTCTACCAAAACCACTTGGGCCGCTGGAGCTTCCACGGCTACGTGGCCGCCTAGGTGCTCTGGCGCGGCCTGTCTCCCCGGCCCGGAAAACGCAGAGCACTTTCCCCTCCCCTGGGGCTTCCTGGCAGCGCCCACGAAGCCCGCGGGCCACGCAGTGCATCACTTAGGGCTCAGGGCCTCGCGTGTACTTGCTTCTGATGGAGCTGTGAGTCTTCTTCCCACAGACCCTGTAGCCCCATATGGTCGGGTGGTGTGTGAAGTGCACCTACACGGCAAGCCTGATGCCGTGGTTTAAAGATACGTGGGGTATCACGCATCCCATGCGTGGAATTTTACCTGTGAGAGGAGAACAGATATTTGCAACTGGAAAGCGGAGTGCGAAGAGATTGTACCATTTACCCACGATTGCTTGCCCTTCCCCTCTCTCGTCATACTTTTCGGTAGGGGTGTACATGTCCCTGCTACTTTAACCTTGGGCTCTGCCATTGACTTTGCGTGGCCCATGGAATATGAGCAGACATGGCCTGAGCCCTATTTGAAAAGCAGCTTTAAATGGACTTCAGGGGTTATATTCTGTGCCCTTCCACGGAGGGCTTTTTCTGCTCATATTCTAGAGTGAAAATTCACTTGGAACTGAGCCCATCCTAGCAGAGTCGTAGCTGTAGCTTAATCATGGTTCTCATCTACCACAAGATAGAATCGAATATTTGTTGTTAGCTACTGAGATATTTTGGGGATTTGTCCACACATAAACAGCTGATTAATAAATGTGTCAGATCTGTTATCCTTTAGCAGGATCACTATGCAGTGTATTTCATATTTTTATCATATACCTTATCCATTTTTTATCTCCCACATTAGGATTGTCAATGTAAGAAAACATTCAAACCTATAAGAATTTTTATGAGCTCATTTGAGCCAAACAAACTGTCAGGGGGAGCAGGGGGATTGAAAGATCGAACAAAAGAGAAAAAAAAGAGCAAGAACTCATTNCTCATTTGAGCCAAACAAACTGTCAGGGGGAGCAGGGGGATTGAAAGATCAAACAAAAGAGAAAAAAAAGAGCAAGAACTCATTGACAGGGACAACGGTGTGGTGATCGCTGGTTGGGTGGGGGGTTGATGGAGCTGGGAGAGGGTATAGAGTGATGGAAAATAAATTAAATTAAAAACAAGAAAGATTGAAGTTTCTTCCATACATACATTTGTGTTAAAATGATTTTAAGAAGACATAATGATGTGAAAAGGAGATGTAGAAATAAATTAGGAGTTCTAGAAAACTGAAAATAATTAGGATCAGTCATGACAGCAATAAAAATCAAAAGAAGTAATAATAATATAGAAACAATGAAATAAAAATGAAAGTAGAGAACAAGAGAAAAACCTCTATACAACAAGCAAGTAAATACATGTGGGAGTGGTAGAAAGCAAAATTGTGAAATGTAAACTTACCTTTATAAACAAAAACAACAAAGAAATAAACATTTTGAAAGAAAACTATTGTGGCTGAAAGAAAAAAGATTCAGAACTCAGACTAAGTTATTGCTCTGTATTTTAATTGAAAACACCATCTAGAACTAAACACATTCTAATGATATTTGTTTATTATAAACAGAAAATTAAATCCTAAATGTATGGATGCAGGGAAAGAGCCTGTCTAACAGCAGTAAATCAGCTGGCCAATTGTAGTTTTCCTCTCTGACAAAATATGTCCCCATCTCACAATATATAGTGATGCAAATATGGACACTTCGGTTGGTTTGGAAGGAGTCTTTGTATCACATAATTTTACATCAGACAGTTACCTACTTCAGTCTTCAACAAAACAACCATTTATGTTACTATGAAGGATTTTTTCCACTGATTCTTCACTGCTACACAATCCAGATATAATATCCTTCCATTATTGGTAACTATTAAAACAATAACTTTTCTCTAGTAAGTGCTCTAAGAAAAGGGAGGGAAGCAGGAAAGCTCATCCATTAATTTCAAGAGGGAGAATTAAGATCTGCTCTTACAAACCCAATTATAAAATGTATCTCTGAGAATTGAATACATGATGTCTTTGTCTCTCTGTCCCCCTATTTCTCTCTTCTTCTCTGTCTCAAGCTAATACATGGGTGGAGATACTATGTAACACACACCTATAATATATAGTTGTATAAATAATATGTGTGGGTATATATGTTTATGTGTGTGTGTGCAATTGCAGTGTAGGTGGTTTTTTAACCCACTTTAATCCTCTTGAAAATGGTATAACACATTGCATGACCGTCCTGTGAACTCAGAGTACTCTGAAGGACTCTATTGGCAATAGTAGGAGTGCTGACTCGATTGTACCATAAAATTATTTAGATTGGTGGGGTTTTTTTAGTGTTTTCCCCCCCAGAGAGTAATTATAGAATATAGAGTAAAAATATTATGGAAAAGTAAAAGGTCATTTGGCATGTATATTAATATCCTATTACGTGCAACCTTTATTAATCTTATTTAAATAAAAGTGCATTTTTTCCTGAGTAACAAACTGACTCTATGTGAATGAATTAATAGTACTAACAAAACTGCAGGCTATTAGTCAAAGATTTCTAAATTCGTTTTGATTATACCCCGTAAAGTTTCTCCCCTGTGTTTTTCAGTCCCATAGAAAATGCCAATTCTCATAGATTAACAGGTAAATGCAAGTTTATATATTATTATTATAATTCAAGGATGATAATACCTCATTTGTGGACTGTTGTTTCTCAGGTGTCAGAAGTTTTAAAGGTAATTTTATACCATATTTTTATATCTTCATGGTTGGTACTGGCATGTTGTTTTTGTTAGAACTGCTATGTAGAGTAAGTTTGGTATAATTTTTTATTTTAGGATAATTTTATGCATTTTCTTCCATTGTTAATCACAGTATACTAAAATGTGATAGGGCATAAATGAATTACATTGAAGGTTAAAGTTACAAAAGTAGATGTAGATATTATATTTATGTTAAACACAAATGTTTAAGCATTAGATGTATGCTAGGCTCTTCAGAATATGCTTTCTGCTCTAGCAGGTTCTATTTTTATATTTTAATAATCTTTATGATCAGAGACGTCTTAAGCTCTTTGAGTTCATTTACATTTATCATAGTGTCTGTTTCTGATTTCCCCTTCTACTAATCCTATAATTCTCTAGCTAGAATACTCCCTTTGTGCCATATATAATATGCACTCAGAGGTCATATTATACAAATTGTTAGTATTTTTTTATCTTATAGAGAGAGTCCTTGTCACTATCTTCACGCCTTCATCTACTGAGGACACAGGTGGTTTCTATACCTTGGCCAGTGTGAATAATGCTGTGTGAACATGGGAATACAGACATCTCTGTGGGATCTTAATTTTAGTTCTTTGGGGTACACCGGAAAGTGGATTATGATCACATGGTAGTTCTACTTTTAATTTTTTGAGACACCTCCACGCTGTTTTCCACTGTGGCTGAACCAACTTACATTCCCAGCAACAATGCACAAGGGTCTCCTTTTCCCCACATCTGGCCAACACTTGTCTTTGTCTTTTTGGTAATAACCATTCTGGCAGGTGTGAGATGATATCTCATTGTTACTTGATTTTCATTTTCCTGATGATCAGTGGTGTTAAGCATATTTCCATGTGCCTGTTGGCTGTCCGGAAGTCTTCTCTTGAAAACTGCCTATTCGGCTCCTTCGCCCATTTTTTGATCAGTTCTTTTTGTGTTACTGAGTTGTGTAAGTTCCTTAATCTTCTGGATATTGATCCCTTATTATATTAATGATTTTAAAATATTTTGTCCCATTGTGGAGGTTCCTTTTCATTCTGCGGACTCTCTCCTTTGCTGAGCGGTCTTACTTTAGTTTGCTGTAGTCCTACTTACCTGTTTTTGCTTTTGCTCCCTGTGCCTTTGGTGTCACATCCAAAACATTGTTGCTACAAACAGTGTCAAGAAGATGTTTCCCTATGTTTTCATTTAGGAATTTAACATTTTCAGGTCTTACATGTAAGTTGTTATTTCCTTTGGAGTTGATTTTTGTATATAACCTAAGGCAGAGATCGATTTTATTTTTTGCCTGTGCATGTGTAGTTTTCCCAATACCATTTGATGAAGACATTGTCCTTTCCACATTGTTTACTGTTGGCACTCTCATCAAAGATCGGTTGACTTGATGTGCATGGATTTACTCCTGGGTTCCCTCTTCAGTTTTCTTTTTTTATTTTGACTTTATTATAAAATTTAAATTCATTTTAGAAGCTGACTGGGAATTTTTGGTAAATAAGTGTATAAAAATATTTACTGTATTTCTTTGCCATGGCTTATACATTTCACAGAATTTTAGTTTATTGCTCAAAATAAAATCATATTCACATGTAGGCTATATTCTTTTTTGTTTTCACTTTGAATTTTACATGCTATCTGGAGCAAGAGTGGGGATTACACTACAGTTTTGCTCAACATGAAAATGCAAATTTGACCTCCCTCATCTATTTTTCTGTTGTTTATGGGTGTAGAGCTGATAAATATTTTAATTCAGATATCTACAAATTCTTTATATGTAGGCTATTTTGCATATATGTTAAAGTTTATATAAGTCTAGTATTTCATTACTAAGTAGTATACTAAAATTTAAAACTTGAAAACAACTTCATTTTATGCATTACTCAATTTAATGCTCATTAAATATTTTCTAAATATTTTAATGTATTTTTCTTGTAAAATATAAATACTATCGTCAAAATGTTTAATGTAAAATGTTTTTCAGAGCACTATCAACTGTATGTTCCTGAGTCAGCCCAAGTTGGTTCAGCTGTTGGGAAAATCAAGGCAAATGACGCAGATACTGGTTCAAACGCTGACATGACATACTCCATCATTAACGGTGATGGTATTGGGATATTCTCCATCTCCACAGACAAAGAGACCAGAGAAGGGATCCTTTCCTTAAAGAAGGTAAAATGAATATACTGTTAGTGATTTAGGCAAGTCACTCATTTTTCTATGAATGGGAATTTAGCAGAGGTATGAATAATCCATATTGTCAGGTCATTGATGATAAAGTATTTCCTCTTTAAAATGTAATTACATTTTAGTTATGCAACATTGTGACTGAATTTGGGGATACTCTCTTAGAAATTATATTTTGTATATTGAAAAGATCTGGCATGGTATGCACCGTGAATGTGCCTCCTCATTTTTGTTCTTGGAGAACAGATTTATCATCAGCATCAGCTCTATTAATATCATTACTCTATGTGGTAGCAATCTGGTAACATTTACATTCTAACTAATGTAAAACTTTACCATGTTAGATAACAATCCTTAGGATATGGGTTTTTACTTGATGGTCATGGTTCCATCAAGGCAGCTTTGGTGAAACCAATAACCTTATCCCCCATTCTTTTTTATTCATAAGAATCTGTCATTGGGCGGAATCTGTTGCTTTTTGCTTTTAAGAGTACATAATGCTTATATCCTTATAAAAATGAAGTGGAACTCATAAAATTGCCCAAAAACCCCCCACAAAAAACTATTTAAATGTAACTACTGGTGCAGTGTATCTCATTCTTTAAGCGTTTAATTATTTCAGCTTAAAAGTCTATTCATGTTCAGATGCCTAGGCTCTAACCATCACATATTTTGATTCAGAAAGACTGGAGTGGGTGGGGCCAGGGAATTGGCCTTTTTATTTATTTATTTTATATATTATTATTATTTTTTTTAATCCTTACCCAAGGATATGTTTTTTTGTTGATTTTAGAGGGAGAGGAAGGGAGAAGGAGAGAGAGAGAGACACTGATGTGAGAGAGAAACATGGATCTGTGGCCTCCCATGTGCACCCTGATCCAGGATTGAACCCTCAACCTGGTTATGAGCCCTGACTGGGAATCCAGCCCCCAGTCTTTCAGTGCACAGGGCAACGCACCATCCAACTGAGCCACACCAGGCAGGACGGAATTGGCCTTTTAAACAAGTATTCCAGGTTATTATACAGATCACTGGCTAAGAAATTTTACCCTCACGTGCTATTGTAGATATTAACATGAATCTAATGATCTACCTATCATAGATATATACTTTTCTATTTGCACTATATAAAATCTTATTATTTCTTCCAGTAATCACAATTTTATATTGATTTAAAATTCAAGATTAGGTTGTTTTCTGGATGCTACACAAGCCGCCTACAAAGTAGGACTTAAAGTGTGCAAATACCTATAGAGCGGTAGCCATCAGTGGTCTATGTAAAGTATATCATTACTTAAAATGTTTCCTAATTTTAGCCTTTCTTTCCTGAAATTGTTAAACCTGGGTCAAAAATGTGATAAAAGTGTCCATTTTACATCTTTATTTAACTATATGTAATTTGAGTGCCTTTACTGTGCCAGTTGCTGTGTTCGGCATGAGCCATGCGAGGGTGAGCAGTCAGACTGTGTCTGTGCCTGAGGAGAGCTTTCAATCCATGGAAGTAGACAGGCATTAATCAAATATCACATTCATTCCTACATCAATAATAACACCTTTTCTATGAAGGAGAGTTATCCAAAGGCATTGGGGGGAAAATCTAGAATAGTTGATCCTGTCTGATAGTCAGCAATGGGTTGAACAGGGAATTGAGAGAAATTTACGAGTTATAGGTAAAGAGAGTAAGAATGAGCTCCAGACAGAGCAAAGAAAAAGTACCGAGAGCCTGAGGTGGGTGGAACATGGCTCACTAAGGAATCAAATAATATTGCTCACTCTGGAGCAGGGAGAGTGAGTGATTAAGTCAGTAGGTACAAGGGCACATAGGAGCCATTGACATTTCCCAAGCTGTTCTCATGTGATGTCAGTATTTCTTCCTAAATGTTGATGTCAGCTTCACGGGGAAAAGACTGTTTTTTTACTCTTCTCAACATCTAGCATGTTTTCCGACACAGCATATACATTCAGTAAGTATCAGAGTAAGAGATGGGTGGAAATTTGGATAAAAAGATGAGAGTATCGCCTGCTTTTCATTCCTTGGATGGTCTTTACCCAGGTAAATTCAGGTAAATGGGCTTATTTTTTCTGAAATAAAAACTCCGAATCCTAGGAAACATGAATACAACACCAATATTTAAGAACCAAGTAGAATGCAGAAGAGAAATAGAGTCTTGGAAGAAAATGTCAAAAACCTGGAGATAGTTTTTTGCATTGACCGTTCCAAAGGGCGGCTGTGTAGGAGGAAGATAGTGGTTGATTAAAATTGTGAATATTCTAGAAATTTAAATCAATTTAAGGTTATAAATATTCATTGGGTTTGGTAAAAGGGAAGACAGGGTGCTTGTCACTAGCGGTTTTCAAACCCTCATCCTCAGCATCACCATTAGCACCATTTTCAACACAATAGAGTTACAGCAACAAATACTTGTTGAGTGTTTTCTTTTTGTCAGGACAGATTTTAAGCACTTTGCCTGTCTTGACTCATTGAGACAATAGACCTATTACCATCCCTTTCACTCTCACCAGGACATTATAATACAGAGCATGTTATTATCCTCACAAATAAAAAAAAAATAAACTGAATCACATCTAAAGAAATGAAATCATAAGGAGGTAAAAAAAATAATTGTAGCCAAGTAGAAATTCATCAATAGAAAACTGACCTTGGGAGTCGTCTTCAGAGTCTGACCTATTACTTCTTTTACATACTTGGTTGGAGAAAACACATATTATTATTAGCTACCGTGGAGAGGAGGACAATCTCGGTGTGCCGGAGAGAAAATGTGAATCAGGGAAATGGAGACAAAAGGAGACACACACTGTCCTCTTTGGGAATCTTTGTAGTATTGCGGGATGGGAGAGGAAAGTTCTGAAGCGAATCAATGAGGCCGTGATGAATGGAGATTTCAGTTGTAAGTGGGAAGGGCCGGAAGTGTGTTTCTATGCAGATAGGTAAAAGGGCAGTAGAAACAAGAAACTGAGGATGCTAACGAAGGGCTAATTGATTTTAAAAGATGAACTAGAGCGAAGGTGGCCTTGTTTAGAATCCTGACCACAGGTGGAAAGAAAGAACCCATGGTGCTCTGCCGTATCCCCTGAGAAAATCAAACAGAAGGGAGACGAAAACGGTTGCAGATAAGTTT